GTGTTTTTTTTTTTTGTTTTTTTTTGTTTGTTTGTTTGTTTGTGTTTGTGTGTGTGTGTGTGTGTGTGTGTGTGTGTGTGTGTGTTGGGGGTAGTTTTCCAGCATCAAGAATTTGGGATTCAAGGAATAGGAATGAAGGGTGGAGGTACTGGAAAGGGTTTGGGGACACAAAAGGGGAGCTCCAGGCGTAGTGAAGGGCTCTAATTGAAAGTGAGGGTCAAGAGGAGAATCTGGGCCGGGCATTGGTGGCACACACCTTTAGTCCCAGCACTCGGGAGGCAGAGGCAGGAGGACTTCTTTGAGCTCGAGGCCAGCCTGGTCTACAAGAGCGAGTGCTAGGATAGGCTCCAAAGCTACACAGAGAAACCCTGTCTCAAAACAACCCAAAAATAAATAAATAAATAAATAAATAAATAGCAAAGAATCTGGGGCCTGGTGAGACAGCTCTGCAGTTAAGAGCACTGGCTGCTCTTCTAGAGGACTCAGGTTTAATTCCTGGCACCTACATGGTGGCTCACAACTGTGTGTAACTCCTCTTCCAGGAGACTCAGCATCCTCTTCTGGCCTTCCCAGAGACCAGACACAAATGTGGTGAAGAGAAAAACATGCAAGCTTTAATAAATCATAAATAATATAACACCACAATTCCCATTTTTTTGTCTAATACAAAAGAAGGCTACAACTAACATAAGAAAAACTATATACAATACGGATATACAATATATACAGGCAAGTTCATCAGCAATGTCTAGTCCATTTGCATTTGACAAATTATCTGTTCTGTCTTGATGAGTACAAAGCCTTGACCCTAATTTATTTTCTATTCCAGTTTGCATCATCAAATTATCTCTTAATGTCTGTCAACGTTTTACACTTTACGTCTCGTAGTGAGTTCCCTTTCTGAGTCTGGTAAACGATGAAAACTATAACTAACTATCTAGTCTTCAACTCCCTCAGAGACCCAAGAAGGAAATACCATTAACTAAGTAAGCAGGAAGTGCAAGCAGGAGACTTTCAAAAAAATGTGAGAAATGACAAAAACATCTGGCTGCCTGGACAGTCATACGTATAACTTGTTTTGTTTGTTTGTTTTTTGAGACAGGGTTTCTCTGTGTTGTCCTAGCTGCCCTGAAGCTAGCTCTTGTAGACCTGGCTGGCCTCGTATTCACAGAGATTCACCTGCCTCTGCCTCCTGAGTGCTGGGATTAAAGTGTGCGCCACCAATGCCCAGCCCCAGATCATTCTTAGTAACTGCTTGTGTGAACATGTAACAGGTCTACTCGCCACTTCTGTGTCTCCTTTGACCTTTTAAAATTGTAGTTTTGTCTTGTTGATACCTAAGACCTCTCTACATTCTAGATACAAACTTTTGCCAAGTATCTCTGCTATAAATATTTTTTCCTTATTCTATAGCTTATACATTTTCTTCATATGTTATTAAGAGAAATTATTACTTTTTTGTATTTTTGAGTCTTGTGATGTAGCAACTGCTGGTTACAAACATCTTCCCTTCCCCTGCTTCTTAAATACTGAAACTGTAGGCGTGCATGTCACTGCACCCTTAGTTCTTATAAATGTTAAGGATTTTTAAATCTATAATCTTGCTGATACATGTTTTATATATTTTTTGCAGTTAATTTCTGTCTCCCAGTATGGAAGAACCTACTACCCAGTTTTCCGACGAGGAGCTGGTGGACAACTTCCCAGCCATAGACGATGGTAACAGAGGCCTTTTCCAAAATCAGACAAGTTTCAGCATAGAAGACAGTGTGTTTCTTGTTGGTTGTGAGCCTAGCCTTTAACGGCTGAGCCGACTCTCCAGCCCC